GACTAATGGATAAATTCTAAGGATAAAATAAATTTTCAAACGAATATTAGAATGGCTAAAACACTGAACATACCTTCAATAGGCTTGGATTTTTAAGTAATATTTTTTCGGGGTCTAGCAAAGGCGTGGATTTTTTAAAAAATATTTTTCGGGGTCTGGCAAAGTTGGGGATTTTTTAAGAAATATGTTTTCGGGGTCTTGCAGCGGCGTAGATTTTTAAGGAATATTTTTTAGGGATCTAGCAAAGGCGTGGAATATTTTTTCAAGGTATAGCCAACGCCTGGATTTTTAAAAGAATATTTTTTCGAGGTATAGCCAAGGCCTGTATTAATTAAATGAATATTTTTAGGGGTCTAGCAAAGGGGTGGATTAATTTAAAGAATATTTTTTCGAGGCCATAGGTTGGCTTTTTAAGGAATATTTTTTCGCGGTATAGCAAAAGCGTGGATTTTTTAAGAAATATTTTTTCGGGACCTGATCAAGGCTGGATCATTAAAGAAACACTTTTTTGGGGTCTGATCAAGTCGTGGATTATTAAAGAAACATTTTTTTCGGGCTCTGATCAAGGCGTCGATCATAAAAGAAACATTAATGAAACATTTGTTCGGGATCTAATCAAGGCGCGGATCATTAAAGAAACTTTTTTTTTTGGGATCTGGTCAAGGCGTCGATCATTAAAGAAACATCATTAAAGAAACATTTTTTCGGGATCTGATCAAGGCGTGGATTATTAAAGAAACATTTTTTTCGGGCTCTGATCAAGGCGTTGATCATTAAAGAAACATTTTTTTCGGGATCTGATATTTTTTCGGTGTCTAATCAAGGCGTGGACTTTTTAAAGATTATCTTTTCGGTGTCTAACCAAGGCGTGAATATTTTAAGCATATTTTTTGCGCTCTGGCAAAGGGGTCAAATATTTTTGGGGATTTTTAAGGAATATTTTTCCGGGGTCTAGCAAAGGCGGGAATTTTTATGGAATATTTTTTTGAGGTCTAGCAAAGGCGTGGATTGTTAAGGAATATTTTTTGGGGTCCAACAAAGGCGTGGATTTTTTAAGAAATATTTTTTGGTTGTGCAGCAAAGGAATATTTTTTAGGTGCCCAGCGAGAAATCGGTCATGTTGTGATAGACGGAAGGCATTCATCCAGTGTTTTAGACGTCCGATCGATCCGGGGAGCACCTGTCTTAATATAGCAGCAAAGGTGTGATCTAATGTAACACGGAAATTTGACGTCGAAAAACTGCAAACATAAAAGATAGCAGAAACCTACTCCGTTTAACTTACCCAACTGCTCGACGAAAGCACACCTTGTCCCGATAATAATATAGAAGCACAGTGGTAGAGAATTGCCCACCCCCTACAAACTGCAGCAAAAGCAAAACTTGGGTACCAAAGACCTCCAATAAGAAATCCGTGGTACGATCAGGAGTGTCGTAATGCTACTGATATGAAAAACGCAGCGTATAGGGCAACCATGCGGACAGTAGCAACACGTAATGCGATGAAGAACTATGGGGAGAAAAGGAGAGAGGAGAAACGTATTTTCTGAAAAAAGAAGAAAGAGCAAGAAAAACGTGAGCGTGAGCAAATCGAGATGTACAGGAGTCAGAATGAAGTCCGAAAATTCTACCAACGGGTAAAACACAAACCGAAGGCTTTGGTGCAGTCACATTCTCCTGTAGAGATAAAGAAGGAAACCTGGTGACAGACACAAACAGCGTGCTGAGGATCTGGAAGGAGCATTTTGAAAAACTTCTGGTATCAAATAGTAGCAGTGAAGTGGATACCGCAGAACCAATAATAGATGACGGTATAGAGTGTATACCACCTAGCCAAGATGAACTCAGAATAGCAATCAATCGCTTGAAGAATAATAAAGCAGCAGGTGCCGATGAGTTACAAGCCGAACTATTCAAAACTAGGGGTCAGATGCTGGTAAGGAGCACCCACCAGCTGATTAGTACAATTTGGCTAGAAGTATGTATGCCCAATGATTGGAACCTCAGTATCCTGTGTCCCGTGCATAAAAAAAGGAGACAAAAACTATAGAGGAATAAGTTTCCTACCCATCGCATATAAAGTGCTATCCGGCGTACAGTGTGAACGACGGAAGCGAATTGTCAATGACATTATTGGACCATACCAATGCGGCTTCAGACCTGGCAAATCCACCATTGACCAGATTTTCACTCTGCGTCAAATCCTGGAAAAGACCCACGAAAAACACATCTACACATTCCACCTATTTGTCGACTATAAAGCCGCATTCTACAGCCCTATTCGTCCAGAGATGTTTAAAGCCATGTCTGCGTTTTTTTATTAAAAGCTGTGGAAGTTTTGAATATTTGTTAAGAGTCTGAAGGTTTGGATTTTTAAAATAAGTTTTTTTTTAAGATAGACATGGTTTTTTATATTTTCAAGGTCCTGAAGACATGGATTTTTTTTAATTTTTTCGAAGGTTTTTTAAATAAAATAATAAATTTTCACTCTGCGTCAAATTCCGGAAAAAACTCCACGAAAAACACATCGACACATTCCACCTATTTGTCGACTAAAAACCGCATTCGACAGCCCTATTCGTTTAGAGATGTTTAAAGTCACTCCTGCAAAATTAATTCGGTTATGCAGGATAGCTTTAACTGGCACAAGATCAGCAGTTAAAGTCGTAAAGGACCTCTCGGAGCCCTTTAAAACCGAACGAGGATTCAGACAAGGTGACAATTTGTCGTGTGACCTTTTTAACATCCTGCTGGAAAAGGTCATACCAGATGCAAAAGTGAACAGAAATTGCACTCTGTACACCAAACAACACATGTTACTCGCCTACGCCGATGACATCGACATAATGGATCGAACACTGAGAGCGGTAACAGTCACCTTTGAACAAATTGAGAAGGAGTCTGTCAAAGTAGGTGTGGCAGTAATCGGCGAGAAGACCAAGCTAATGGTATCAACGCGCAAGACATCCAGTAGACTCGGACCAAATGTTCGAGGTAGTCAAAGATTTTATATACCTTGGTACCGCTATAAACAAAACGAATGACATCAGTTTTGAAATTCGGAGAAGAATAGTGATGACCAACAGATGCTACTATGGTCTGAGCAAACAACTCAAAAGCAAGGTCACCTCCCGCCAGACAAACTCACACTGACGCTGATACTACCCGTGCTGTTATATGGATCTGAAGCATGGGTACTTACGCAAGCACATGAGACAGCTCTTGGAGTGTTTGAGAGAAAAATTCTCCGAAAGATCTATGGGCCGATCTGCGTTGACGATGAATATCGCCGTCGAATGAACCAGCTATTCTCGGACATTGACATTAGACGTATTAAGCTGCAGCGACTACGTTGGCTAGGTCATGTTGGGAGAATGGATGAAGATGCCCCAGCCCAGAAGGCATATAAATGCGAACCAGCTGATGGTCCCCGCAGAAGGGGAAGGCCACGAATACGATGGAAAGACCAAGTGGAAGACAACATTGTCGAATATGGTCTTTCAAATTGGAAAAACTGCCAAAAAGACTGACGCGCCTGGAAATCTTTTTATACCCTCCCCCATAGTATGGAGGGTATATTAGTTTTGTTTTTCCGTTTGTAACGCATCGAAATAATCATTTCTGACCCTATAAAGTATATATATTCTTGATCAGCGTAAAATTCTATGACGATCTAAGCATGTCCGTCTGTCCGTCTCTCCGTCTGTCTGTTATAATCACTCTAGCGTCTAAACGAATTGAGATAGAGCGCCAAAATTTTGCATAGAGTCGTCTTTTGTCTGCAGGCACGTCAAGTTCGAAGATGGGCTATATCGGTCCACGTTTAGGCATAGCTCCTATATAAGGGTACTCCCAAATTTTCAGTATTTTGGGGTTCTTGAGCGCGTTTTTCAACCGAATTCGCTGAAATTTGGTAAAATGGGTTCTTTTTGGATGCCAAATTTATCCACTAAAAATTATAAATATAGGTCCAGTTTTTCTGGTAGCCCCCATATAACAGTACCACCCAATTTTCAGTTTTTGGGGAGTTTTGACCGGATTTTTTCACCGAATTGGCTGTAATTTAGTACTTTGAGTTCTTATTGGGTAGCAAATCTCTCCACAAAAAAATATAAATATAGGTCCATTTTTTCGGGTAGCCCTCATATAAGGGTACCCCCAATTTTCGGTATTTTGGGGTTCTTGAGCGCGCTTTTCAACCGAATTCGCTGAAATTTGGTACTTTGAGTTCTTATTGCATAGCAAATCTCTCCACAAAAAATTATAAATATAGGTCCATTTTTTCGGGTAGCCCCCATATAAGGGTACCCTCCAATTTTCGGTATTTTGGAGTTCTTGAGCACGGTTTTCAGTCGAATTCGCTGAAATTTGGTACTTTGAGTTCTTATTGCGTAGCAAATCCCTCCACTAAAAATTATAAATATAGGTCCATTTTTCCCGGTAGCCTCCAATTTTCAGTATTTTGGGGTTCTTGATCACGATTTTCAACTGAATTCGCTGTAATTTTGGTATTTTGCAGTGGTATATGCTAACAAATCTCCCTACCCCTTTTTGGGGTGGCCCCCTTATAACCCCATTTTTTATTTTAAAATAGTTAGCTAATTTTTCCCGTGTGTTGGGGTTATCCCATATAGCTGTATTCCACCATAGTAGGGGGGATATTCGGTAGACGAAATTTTCAGTTCATATTTTGATATTTTGTTATGTATTCATTTAATATTTTCATTTTTATTTTTTTTTTAACAATTTTGTTTCTTGATCTTAGCCTACAACCTACTATTATTTAATAGACTTCTTAAACTAATTTATTTTATATACAATCCGAATATAAACTAAAATCTGAAACAAAAAAATAAATCTATTCTATAATACTAAATCCTTTGGCTTAATTAACAAAAGTATTTGGCAACTCTAGCTGTTCGGTTTTCTTTTTTTTTTCTTTGTGGGTAAACCAATAAAAACTACAACTACAATAAACTTAATAATTATTGAATAAAAATTTAATTCGAATATTTAATGTGTTCATAATACGATGGACCACCGCCTTCGGAATTTGTGCCATTGTTTTCCGAGGAGGTGCCACTGCCCACATTCAAATGCTGTTGCTGTTGCTGCTGCTGATGTAATGGTGGGGTGGATATTGTTCCCGAGGGCGGAGTCATCGATGGCAAGAATATTGGTTTGCGATCGATAAGTGATGCACCCGAATCCGCTGTAGAGGTTGACAGAGCTGTTAATGCTGACGATGTTATAATGGATGGTGGTGGCAATGAATGTATCAGCGATGCCGATGATGAAGCCGAGGGTGGTGGTGGTGTCATGGAAGATGTGTGATGTACGGTGCCATTGTGTGGATGGTGTAGTTGTTGGTGGTGTGACGGTGGGGGAGTGGGTGTGTGATGCGAGGGCAGTGTCGACAATGAGGACATTTGCGTTAAAGTCATTGAACGTAAACCTAAAATGGGGAGAGGGAGAAAAAAAAATTAGTTAATTTACTCTTATTCCAATTTTTGTATTTTGTAATGAGCGTGTAAATCAGGGTGAGGGAGAATAATTGCAATTATTATTCTCCCCTTTTTGCTTTACTTCTGCAGGGCCATAATTTTTGCAATAATTTGTTTTTTTTTTATGATCGAATTAAAATCGCAATTACAATTCCCTTGATTGACACGATCACCCAAATCGTTTTTATGTTGTTGTTTTTTTTTCTTTTTGCTGTGCGATTAACACTACTTACCATTGTCTATGTTGTATGCGGAGGCGCCACTTGCTGTTGCACTGCCATATGGTAAATAGCCATTACTGGCTGCCACCAACGATGCTGTCGCATAATCCATACCGGAATTACCCGATAGAGCAGCAGCAGCACCACCAGAAGACGATGGCGTGGATGCCAGTGAAGGACCGGGTGAACCATTATTTGTTGTTGCCGAAACATGGGCCATTGGTGGTGTGGGACTGTTATTACCGTGGTTGTTGTTGTTGTTGCTGTTATGCATAATTGCCGATGTGGCAATATTCGAATATTGGGGTAATGTATTCTGTCCATGACTGTGTGGTGCTGTCGCCCAACTATCGGAAAAATTGCCAGTGCCATTTGTGGCCGTGTAAGGATCATAGGGTGAGAAGCCTTGAGAACTATAGAAATTTGGATTGTCCTGTAAAGAAGAAGAAAAGGTTGGGGATCATTAATAAGAAAATCTACTTTCATTAGAATATAAAATATTGTTTCAAGGTCTAACAAAGGTGAGGAGGTAAATATTATTACGGACCTAGGAGGGGGTTTTTAAGGAATATTTTTATGCTCAGACTGAAAAGTGTATTTTTTGAGGAACATTTGTTATGCTTTGATAGATGCGTGATTTTTTAAGGAATATTTTTGTAAAACCTATCAAATTCGAGAATTTTTTTCATGGTAGCGTGGATTTTTTAAAGAATATTTTTTAATGACCCACCAAAGGCGTGGATTTTTAAGGAATATTTTTTCATGACCCACCAAAGGCGTGGATTATTAAAGAAATATTTTTTCAAGACCCATCGAAGGCGTGGATTATTTAAGGAATATTTTTTCAAGGTCGTAATAAAATCGTGGATTTTTAAGGAATATTTTTTCAAGACCCACCAAAGGCGTGGATTATTTAAGGAATATTTTTTCAAGACCCACCAAAGGCGTGGATTATTTAAGGAATATTTTTTCAAGAGCCACCAAAGACGTGGATTATTTGAGGAATATTTTTTCAAGACCCGCCAAAGGCGTGGATTATTTAAGGAATATTTTTTCAAGGTCGTAATATTAAGGCATATTTTTTCATGACCCACCAAGGGGTGGATTTTTAAGGAATATTTTTTTATGACCCACCAAAGGCGTGAATTTTTAAGGAATATTTTTTTATGACCCACCAAAAGCGTGGATTTTTCAAGGAATATTTTTTATGCCCCACCAAAAGCGTGGATTTTTCAAGGAATATTTTTTCAAGACCCACCAAAGGCGTGGATTATTTAAGGAATATTTTTTCAAGACCCACCAAAGGCGTGAATTATTTAAGGAATATTTTTTCAAGACCCACCAAAGGCGTGAATTATTTAAGGAATATTTTTTCAAGACCCACCTTAAAAAAGAATACTTTTTTAAGGTTCTAACAAGGTCGCGGATATTCGAGGTTCTAACAAAGTCGTGGATTTTTAAGGAATATTTTTATGGCCCAACAAAGACGTGGATTATTTGAGGAATATTTTTTATGACCCACCAAAGGCGTGGATTTTTATTATTTAAGGAATATTTTTTCATGACCCACCTTAAAAAAGAATACTTTTTTAAGGTTCTAACAAAGTCGCGGATATTCAAGGTTCTAACAAAGTCGTGGATTTTTAAGGAATATTTTTATGGCCCAACAAAGATGTGGATTATTTGAGGAATATTTTATATGACCCATCAAAAGCGTGGATTTTTCAAGGAATATTTTTTCAAGTTCTATTAAAGTCATGGATGTTTTAAGGAATATTTTTTGGTGATTATTTTTCAGGACGAACCAATACTTGGATTTTTTATGGAATATTTTTTCAAGGTCCTAGCAAAGCAATTTAATGAATATTTTTATGATCTGCCAAAGGTGCGAATTTATTAAGAAATATTTGTTCATGTTCCTAGTTACGAATTTTTTTGTGGACGACCATGAGACCTCTGCCCTAGAGCACCTAGATGGAAATCTCTTTTTTTTCTGAAACTTACCATTCCCGCATCATATGATCCCGTTGGATAGAAACCATTGGCCGCTGCATACGGTTTGACTTTCAACTTTGAGCGATAACCACGTGGACGACGTCTCAGGCTACCCTCATCCTCGAACATATGGGCAGAACTTTGTTCAATTGTCCAATAGTTACCCTTGCCGGGTTTGCCAACACCCATACCCTTGGGCAACTTCTTAAAGCATTCATTCAAGCTGAGATTGTGACGTACGGAATTTTTCCAACCAATATAGGGGCCGCGAAAGAATTCAAATCTGCAAGGGGGAGAAAAAAAATACAATAATGAATTATTGAAATGTTTTGGGAAAAAAATAATTTTTTTAGCAAAAAAAACCTACTGAACCTTTTTTTAATAAAAATTATTTAAACATGTATTCAATAATTTGAGATTATGTTTGTTATTTTATATTTTTTGGTACCACCCAAGGTTTCAAATAACCTTTTGAATTGATACCACAGAGTTACTGTCACCCTTTTTTCAGTTTTGAAAGAAGAACCCTCAACAGCCTCAAATTCATATAATTCTCAAGAATTTCTTTTGTCTGCATCGAAAAAAAAATCACGCAAAGCTTAATTCGATCGAAAAACATTCTCACACAAAAAATTTGTTTATTTTTATATTGAAAAAAAAAGAAACTGTTATTTATCGATTGATTTGCTAGCTGCTGGCCAGCGATCATTTTTGATAAACAAAATGTCATAATAAAATCGAAAATTATGGCAAGCAACATTCTTTTTCTCTGCTGTGTGTTTGAATATGAAATTTGAAATCATTTACAATGTGAATTAGAGAAAAAATGATTTTTATTACAAATCGAATGGTATTCAAATGAATGGAGAAAGGGATGGGGAAGTTTCAAATACAAGAGTCAAATTTTTTATATTAGTAAAAAAAATAAATTTCAGATATTGCAATTAAATTTTTTCCCTAAAATATGTAGACAACTTTTTTCCAAAACTTAAAATTAGGAAGTTAATAAATAGTCTACTAGAACAATATCTCTGTATCGAATTCGAAACAAAGAGCCTGAATCAACCTCAGATTATTCGTTTCGAAGAGAAACAATATTCAGATTCTTTGAGCAGAAAATGAGGATATAAACATTTCCTAATTACAAACATTAAGGAAATCTGACAAAAATATCGAATATTTAAAAAAAGAAAATATAAAATGGTCCAATTTGTCGGAAAAGTATTCCTAAGTAACCGGAACTGAATTCCTTCCGAATTTTTGCAGACTTGTCTGATGAAAATCGACAATTTATTTTTTTAATAAAATTTATCACAGTTCGATCACACATATCCGAACACAATCAAAACTTTTAGATCCGATTCGATTTTATTTCAAAAATTTAGCCTATTTTTCGAATCTAATTATCTAAGAAATTTTTGTAAATCTCCATAGAAAAAACAAATACGAGCAGGAATTTTAGTCACTATATACGAAGGCAGTTCGGAAAGTTCTTAGCCTAGCACAAAAACGCCGTATAAACAGAAAAAAGTTAAGCATTTTGTGAACATTCATCTCTGTTACAAACACATGTTAAATTTTGTTTCGATCTGGCAACTCCCTCATATAGAAACAGGTGTTCAAAAAAGACGCATCCGCAATTTTTTACAACAGAAACAGAACAGAGATGGAAGTTTCCAAAACACTTAACTTTTTCTGTTTATACAGCGCTTTTTGTGCTAGGCTAAGAACTTTTCGAACTGCACTATATAACTTTACCTAATATATTTTCGTATTTTTAAGGTTGCAGAAAAAATAAAAATTGCCGACAGATATATACCCTCAGTCTATGGCTTGCGGAACTTTTATTATTCGCTTTATATATGGTATGTATTTGTATCAAAGAGGTTTCGGGTATAATCTAAATCAAATCGGTTATTCAATCCGCTTCAAATTAAATTTACAAGTTTATAAAATATTGACCCTTTGTGAGGGAGGTACCAGAAGGAGAGGGCCGACGGGTCCCATCTTCGGACTTGATCTAGGCATGATAACGATAATAGGTTGCACAAAGATTGATTCAAATCGGATAGTCCGTTCGCATGATATAAAATATAAATTTTTTTTCGAAATTTTGGCCATTTTTCGTGGGAGGTATCAAAAGCAGTGGACCGGGGAATATCTTCTTGCTTTGAACTAAGTTTGAAAGAAATATTACGATGTGCAAAGTTTGAATGAAATCGGTTACTCTTTTCGAGAGTTATCATGCGCACCAGTCTGCCAAACGGACCGGCAGACGGACGGGCATTTGTAAATCGACTCAAAATTGTTTGAAATGGATTTGGTCCATAAAAACATGGGGTCTAAAACCAATATTTCGATGAGGCACATTTTCACAGTGTATATACTACCCTCATTGACCATAAGGCCGAGGGTATAAAAATGGAACAAATTCCTTTCGAGAGTTATCGTGAGCATCAATCTGCCAAAAGGACCGGCAGACGGACGGGCATTTGTAAATCGACTCCAAATTGTTTGAAACGGATTTGATGCAAATAAACATGGGGTCCAAATGCAATATTTTGATGGGGCACATTTTTGACGTAGCGAAGTTTCTATACCCTCATTAGTCATAAGACTGAGTGCTTAAAATGGAACCAAATTTTAATATGGCGCCCAAACAAAATACAACCGAATATCATCGAAATTACGGTGAGGAAAACTACAGTAACAGCAGTTGATGTATGAAAACCTTGGAACCATCAGGTTGTAGAATATTTTCTAATTCTTAATATAGGTCCACAATTTGGTGTAGCAAATAGTCAATTTTAATCACGGTTCGAAATACTACCCCATTGAAATTTACTTAAAAATGTAGTTGAAATTATAAGATTTTGTGTGTCTACAAGTTGGGCCGCACTTTCTATACCCTCTACCCTGAGCAGAAATAGGAAGCAGAAGTAAAACGAAACCATTGGACTTCTCAGGTTCTAGAACATTTCCTAATTCCCCATATAGGTTCAAAATGTTGTGTATCGGCTAGTTTTTAAAAAAAGGCAATATTGGTCTATGTCCGAAGTTCTAACCCAGTTTATCGGTTGTAAATTTACTTAACATATTGGCAGAAATTATGAGTTTTTGTATGTCAGGAATCAGAAATTCTTCTAACACAAGCGGTCAGGGTCGGCTGGGCCGCACTTTTTGTACCCTCCACAATGAGGAAGAAAAGGATACAGAAGTAGAAACATTAACATGGTGCAGAACATTTAAATGGGGACTATTCGAAACATCTATTTATTTTAAGGTTTTAGCTAGAAGATAATCTGTTCTCTAATAATCAGAAATGAATTTTTACAATATTTTCAATGAAATTATTACCTCTGAGAACCTGAAATACTAAATGACAGCGAAGTCTATTAGAAAATGTGTATGTGATCTTCAAAAGGTCTTATAAAGCTATAAAGGATTTTTTCTAACAGGAGGTATTTCATAAGAATCTATATTGAGATTTTTCGGACTGGGTCTTTCATTTCATCTAAGACTTCTAAATACCAATTATTGTCAATTCTGTTGGGTAACGCTACTAAGATCTTTAAAATACCTATAATAAAGCTGAGACATTTCAATGGAAGCCATGTCAAAACCTGAACCTAGAATTACAATTTTCTATCATGAGATCCATTGATTTTTTATTTTTATCAAAATTTAACTTAACTCGAATTACAGTCAAATCGGTTAAAAAGGTCACCTAAGGTTTTCAAAATACTTCAAATATTTTGCAATACGAATGGAATTTTGGATATGAATGATATTTCAAAATATGGCGAATATTTCAAGGAAGTGTTTTACCCTACAAATGCAGTCCTAGATATAGCCCCAAAATGCATCTCCTGATTAGGCTTACAATTCGATTTCAAATGTATTTCTATCATAAAAATATCCATATTTCCTTCCACTTATTTTTTTCAGCGAAGCTCCGACTTACCTCTTCTGTAGAAAACTATAAATTTCACTGAGCGTTAGTTTTCCCGTTGGCGATTCTTTAATGGCCATGGCGATCATATTGATATAACTTAGTGCGGGTTTTTCAGGGCGTCTAATGCCCGATTTTTTGGTTGTATCCGGTGATGATAAATCCTGAGAGCCGGCGGAGGATTGTTGTTGCTGTTGTGATTTGGGTGTATCACTTTGTTTGGAGTGAACAGATTTACTGGGTGAGGAACTGGAGGAGTAGTTGGTGTTTGGAGTGGTGGCGGCATTGTTGTGTAAATTATCATTCTGGGAATTGGTAGTTATGACCCCACCACCACCTCCGGCAGAGGAGGTATGTTGTATACGTTGTTGTTCGGTTTGCATTTGGTGATGCATTAGTTCCGATGAATTGCCATTCTCCAAATGGTCATTATGTGATTGATGCTGCTGCTGCTGATGTTGTTGCTGTTGTTGTTCATTCATGTGTTGTGATTCTTGTAATTCGGTATGGCTGGATTCATGCTGCATATAATCCGCCGTGTTGGGTTTACTCGAACAATATTTTATGGTTGAGGCATATTGGTGATTTAATGACCCCACCGATGAGGATGGCATTAAATTTAAAATTTTATTCGAATTAAGCGAATGATAGTGCTGCAGCTCACTATCCGACGGTGTGCGATTGGCAGGTGATGAATTCCCTGAATGTGTTGGAGGTGGTGGTACTGCCACTGTGGATCCGCTGCCATCATGGCCCGTTACTCCCTGGGGATTGGACAAGAGCACACCATATGAAATGGGACTGTTCGAGGCCGGCGGTGTCGACATGCTGTGCAATGACGTTAGGCCATAATTCATGGTATCCGACTGAGTCATCATGGTGGCATAGTATTTGCGCTCGTTATAGAGTAACGGTGGTTTTTCATCCGCCATTTCGGGCGAGTCTTGATGCATACGCATTACCGATGAATGTGTGTTCGGATGATGATGGGGATGGGGATGTTCATTGCCACCGCCATACATAATGGGCTGGAAATTGGATGAGGCCAAAATATTGGCTTGTAAATTGCGATACAGGGTGCTGTGATGATTGTTGAGCTGGTGCAAATCAGCATGGTGATGTGTGTTGGTATTAAGGGAGCCATATGGGCCGGTATCTAACATATCTTCACTTTTGATCATTTTGTTAAATTATTTGTTTGTTTTTTTTTTTTAATTTTTAATAATATTTGTTATTTTATTTTCTTTTTCCAAGAATTTTTGTTTGGTATCACTTTGATTTTCTTTGTCTTCTTTAGGCAAACATATTTTTCTTTTTTTCAAATCTTAAATTATTGCATTACACAACAAAAAAATCGGTTTCACACATTAATACCGACGATCACGTCCATTCAAGCCCGTTATTCTAATTGAACTGATTTCTCTGCTCCGGTCATGCCTCAATTGTTGCATTCAACAGAATTCCACAATTTTGTTTTGTTTTCCACTCGAAAATCCTTTGCTCTCTGCCCCCATTTACCCTACCAATAATTAGGCATCTCAAGAGAGTGTGTATGCAACCAGCTCCTCATGGGTTAATTTCACATATGTCTGCTGTTTGCTAGGCTCCTTATGGTACCATATGTGGGTGGCTAACTAGATGTGTGAGTGAATGTGTATGTTGTTCGTTGTATTGAGAATTTTCATATTTTGGTGTGAATTGTGTGCGAGAAACCCAATTGGATAGTTCTCACTCATTACTCTTGGGAATATATGGGCTCGGAGTACGGCGATCATTTGAGTTCGATTTTTTTTTTTTTGCTGATCCAGCACAAATATTAAATAACTATAAAAGATGCTGATAATGTTTTTATTTTTTGTTCGTTGTATTCGTTCCTTTATTTTCAAAAATAAGACCTTGAATTGTTGACGGTATTATGTTAATGTTTTTCTTTTTTTTCATTTATTATTTTGCAATTTAAAACTATATTAAAAAAAGTTATTCGGCGTCTTTGTCAAATGGCTGAATGTTCTATTGGGGACTTTTATTGAATTGAAAATCGGAAACCCAACCAAATAAAGATAGAAAGTTAAATGTTGGGAAGATAGGACTGACTATGCTAATATTAATTGTGGGGAGATGGACTAAAAATGGAACCACATGCAACGGCATATTGTGACGGAATGTAACCAAAAATATTGTATACGCATTGCAAAAAAAAACCAGTGAGCGGAGCCGTATAGTCGGACGGGGCCGACCATATAATACCCTACACAACTTCCACGAAAATCTAACTTTCTATCTGATCATCACCGAAAGTTATAGGCATTGTCCTTGACCATAACTGGAATCTCATGGAAATTTTCAAAGCGGTCAGCGCTATATTTCCGCCCTCTAGTGTGGTTTTGGGTTACTAAATAATGTCTGGATACGTAAGCACCTGTAAATATTTAAGTGTAGCTCCCACATCTGAGTACATACGACCATATAATTGGTATCAATTTAAAGGTCAATCACTCCTCTTGAACATACTATGAGCTTTTTGGGTCTAGGTCCTTCAGGGGAAAATATATACGCCATAGAATACAAATTTTGTAATTGTTCACGCAAAAGTCAGGGTCCATTTGACCCGCTAAATATTGACCGATCTTTATCAAAACAGGCATGCTTATTCTTTGGCCCCATCCCCTTCTCCATGCAAAAATTCGCGGTGTTTGAGCCATAATTGCGGCCTCTGGAGCGACCAAAAAATCAGACAAAAATAAAGTTTTTGGTCCATTTCTTCCCCTAAATATTAACCGATCTTTCCCAAAAAAAAATAGGGGTCTTCATTGGCCAGAACCCATTCTACATGCAAAATTTCGTGAAGATTGGTCCATAACTGTGGCCTGTATCGTGTTTACAAATTATAATGGACAGACGGACGGACGGACACACATGTCTAGATCGACTCAGCTAGTCGAGATATGACAATCGGTATACTTAAAGGTAGGTCTAGGAACAATATTTCGCGGCGTTACAAACTTTTGGGGCTGCACAAAGCTATAATACCCTGACAACATAGTTGTGTAGGGTATAAAAATCGTAAATCTCATTTCAATTTTTATGGGACCCCAATTTGACGTTATTCTTAAAAGGGTCTAAAATTTACCCTTTCAATAATTTTTAAACAACTTACATTAACATTGAAATTGAATGTACCGAACCACTTCTTCTGGTACCTCTCCTACACATAAATATGATATCCTGTAGAAATTACGATATATTCAAGAGACGTTCGAAAGTTCGGAACCTTTATATGGAGACCAACGTAATTGTAAATGATTTGCTAGTAGATTGTTTATGATTTGAGAAAAAAAATGGGATAGGAACTTTAACGATCAAAAATTATGCAGAATCATTGTATGGAGTAAGTTAAAAACATGGAACCACACTGATTTTCTTTTTGAAAATAAATATTTATTTCCCTGGAATCTGAAAAGCCAAATTACTTTAGTGGGAAAATGCGTCCTTCAAAACAACGAAAATGGGACGGATCCTTCTTTATATTGGGGCTATGGTCAAAACACTTCGACAATGTTTCGCAAAGATGTTTTTCACCCTATGAGAACCCGGAATACGAAATGACTGCCATTTATATTGGGGCTATGGCAAAACACGTCGACAATATTTCGCAAAGATGTTTTTCACCCTATGAGAACCCGGAATACGAAATTACTGTAATTTCAAATGGAAATATTGAAGTGGCTTTCAAACTAGGGCAGTACCTTGGTATGGAATCGTATATTTCCTGCAAAATATATTATTCACCCTCTAAGAACTTCGTTTGTCAAGTTACAGGCACTGGAGATGGCAAATGCGACTAACACCTTGAAAATAAAAAAATGGGCGGGACGGTTATATGAGATCAACCAAAACCGGAATCTATAAAAAATATTTAATCCCCTGGAATCTGCAAAAGCCAAATTACTTTTGTGGGAAAATGCGTCCTTCAAAACAACGAAAATGGGACGGATCCTTCTTTATATTGGGGCTATGGTCAAAACACTTCGACAATGTTTCGCAAAGATGTTTTTCACGCTATGAGAACCCGGAATACGAAATTGCTGCCATTTCAAATGGAAATAGTGAAAGTGTATTGATATGAAATAGTACCCTGATATCGTATATTTCCTGCAAAATATATTATTCACCCTCTAAGAACTTCGTTTGTCAAGTTACAGGCACTGGAGGTGGCAAATGTGGCTAACACCTTGAACACAAAAAAATTAGGCGGGACCATTATATGAGACTAGCATATGCCCGCTACGTCGTTAGCGGGTCTTTACAAACAAATTATATTTTATAGTTAATATTAATAAACATTGATTTAGCTACCAAATATACCTTAATATAGATTTAAGCATTTCTAAGTATGTACTAACCATGATCCATATAACACTAAATTATTTATCAGAATACTTTTGGATTCAGTATAAATCAGTATCAGGTCCTACACAATAATTTGTTTAAAAAAAATTCTTAGATCTTAGTCCGCATTTCTTTTGATCATAAACTTAAGAAGCGTTGGTGCTCGAACTAAATATCGAGAACAATTTACTTATTTTCATTTATTTCTCAAGATCAATATTTCTCATGACACCATAATATCCCTTTCAAAGCAGATTTTTTTCATATTCTATTTTTATATTTTCTGAAAGTGTACTATTTCTTTCCAATGCAAGCTTTTTTAAACATGTTTAATTTAATACAAATAAAGTACTTTTTAGTACTTGTGTACCATTATAGTACGAATGTGTAATATAACATTTTGCACAGTATGTACATTATTTATTATACAGAGTTCTCCTTTATAGGGAAGATTGTAGAAATTTAGTATTTCTAATGATGTGTGTTACAAAATCCTTATTGAAGAAATTGTTGGTATATCCTCAACATAAAGATCCCGCCCATTATTCATTACATCGGAATTCGCGGCGTTGGGGTTGGAAACATCATTGAAATAAATAACATTACTGTCATGGTAGAAATCTTAGAAACATTTGCATTTAAAAGTGTCAACAATTTAGTACTTGTGTTGTTCAGTGCCTTAGTTTACTTATTTGTACAATTCACAAAATCATTCATATTTCATGTAACTGTCATCATTTTTAGTTCAGATTTTCGAAAAATATGTCCAAAAATACTAAAACTCGGAAATCTGTCTCTACCTTTTCCGATGTAAACTATACGTATTATATTTAAGTTGTTATAGCTGTTATACATACAAAATATCAGCACTTTATTTCTACCTGTCGTTCTGTCGTACACAATATTTAGTACTTTTTGGTACCTTTAAGTACAATTTTCCAACATTTTGGCGTATTCTATTTTGTTTATAATAGACAAAGCTACATACTGAATTTTAGAATTATACTTTTTGCCGTTCCCACACAGTGGTATTTTCTGTACAATTTAGTACGAATTCCCAATAAACATAGCCGTATCACACGCCTATGCACTAACACTAACCTACATGCATGTTTGGGCGTTGAGTCAGTCACTTTACCGCAATTATATATAGACTCTTTTATATTAGGCATTGTCAATTTCTATCCTATTAACTTGTTGATGGCGCCTATGTTTTAGAAGCCACATACATTTCAAACCATACCACTTCTAATCGCTCAATACCAATGTAAAATTTTTAGTAGTTTCCAGGCCTTTTAAAACTTATTTAATAAGAAACTTCATCACTACACTATTTTGCTGGCGTACAAACTTTTCCCACTCTTAGTACAAATATTTAGTATATTTCTATTTCTTCCAAATTTAGTACTTATTTCAAAATTATATGTATATAACAATATGTGAAATAATTAAGCAATATATTATGTTTCAGATTTTAATTTAAACCGCTTAATATTTAGTACTATTTTAGTACTCATTTAAAAAAATTAATTATATCGAAGTATTTGTAAAAGTTAAATCCACGTGACACGTTTCAGATTTCTATTTCTAACGGTTCCATTGTAATTCTTATTTTGTACTATTTAACACCACTTTAGTACTAATTTATACTATTAAAAGCTGTATACAAAGTTCCTGATTTCTATCTCTATCGGTTCTTTTGTACTATAATATTCATAACATTTTAGTACATTTTACTACAAATTTCCAAAAAATATTTTTGCCCATTGTTATATTTGTAATAACTTAAGTT